AAAAGGAGGGGGCCCCAGGTCCTGGGCATGACCACTAAAACTGCACCCTGCCAGGGTAGGGAGGCCTGGTGGGACTGCTGGCAGCACAGCAGCCCCGTAAATGCCAGGACAAATGATCCCCTGGGGAAAGGCGGGGTAGGAGGTGCCATAACCTCCAGCTAACGTACGCATGCACAAAGTCCTGGCTGGGGAACGCCCAGACCTATCACATCTTTGACAGGCCTGACACTTGCTGGTTGCTGTGCAGCTGTGAGGCTCCTGGTGAGCTCAGCTTAGCTGCCCGGGATGCCAGCTTTAGGGTTGAAAACCCCTTTGTCAGGCTGAGGAAGTACCTGCAGTTGGTACTGGATGGAAGGAATAGTAAAGAAGTTTGGGGCGGGGGGGCAGGCGGGAAAGGGGGATGTAGCAGTGCAGGTAAAATTGCAGAGATGCCTGGGGTGTCAGATGCCCAGCAGGTCGCAGCGTGCCAGAACTCCACTGTGTATATTGAGTCCATGAGTTTCTGTACCTACTACCTAGGAAGCTGATGAAGTGTAGTTCATAGGCCCAGCTCTGAAAAGTTGTTTGCATTGTAATTTGTTCCCTCTCAGGACCAGGCCTGAAAGACTGGAGGCAGAGTGTTTTTTGGTGAGGAATGTGCCCCCACAGGTAGTTGGGTTTTGTTGTCTTTGATAGATTCTGGTGTGCAGTTTATGGGGGTACTGGAGATAGTTGGCAGGTTTTGTGTTTTGAGCTGTAGGAAGTTGGCTTCAGTTCTGGTGATGAGGTTAGGTGCTTGTTTTAATGTACAAACTACTTTTCAGAACTGGGATGCAGTTCCCCTCAAACCCCTGCTCCTATCCTTTTTGAAGCTTGGCAGGCTTCATGCTCTCAGCAGAGGCTACCACCCCTGCAAGCTGCACCCAAATTGGAGATGAAATAAGAAAATTATAGATATTTAATTGATCCCCCATTATAGCCTATAGCTGGATCTCTGAAGCTTCGGAGCCGCTTTGGCCGGATCAGAGCTCCAGATCATATCACTGCCATCCGAAGCAGTCTGATCTGAAGCCGGATCGGATTGATGCTGATTTGCACAGACCTACCCATTTTTATTGTTGCAATCCCAAATGGGTTTTCAACCACAAGGTTGGGAGCCGCTACTCTAGGCTGAAAATAAGCAGTGTCAGGGACCAATTGAGAGCATAATCTGTGGTAGACTCACACTCCTTTCTATACATTGACAATTATTTTTCAAATGGAGACTGCATGGAGTTTGGAAGGTTTGCAGCAAAACTTCTAATTTAGACTCCCCTGACTCCAAGGCAGCAGTGAGTTTATAGGGCAGTGTTTCTTCCAGACACAAGTAGCGTGTGGAACACCAGTCTGCACATGTGTTGAGCCTTTGTGGCATGTCAATTTTGCCATCTCCTCTGAATATTTTCCGTCTTAATTATTTCTACTTTCTTGAGGCCCCACCCTTCATAAATTAGTGAAGAACTTTATTGATGGTAGTAGCCTCAGGCTTTTGAGAGAAAAAAATCCACAGTACAAAAAACTAAACAACTCCACTTTGCAATAAGAATGCATTTATATTCTGATGCAGATACATAAGTTACACATACTACCTTACTGTTTATTAGAACTGTACATGGAGTTTAAACAATTGATATAAACAAATACAGTAACCAACAAAGATAAAGTAACACATATGATAAAAGCCCCTGCCCCTAGATCATACACATATTAGGAACTGTGGAATTAGTTATCATATTAGTTGTGCAAGTTTTTTTTTTTTTCCAAAATGCATTTATAATCAAGTGTCAAGTGACACTGTATTTTAAATAAGCTCCTTGGATCTTGGGAATACAAACCTTGTAATAGGTGTCTTGCAACAAGAATTGTGTCCTATAATACATCTACTTTGCCAAAGCTGCAATACCAGAAAATCCCAATCAATTAGTATATATACTATTAAAGAACTTCAAGCTGAGATTTTCAGCAGTGCATAGCAATTTGGGGTACCCAATCTGAGATATCTTGCAAATACCTGGATTTTCAGAAGATGGATGCTGCTTTAAGAGCTCTCATCTTGGACACCTCAAAACTGAAGCACTCAACATCATTAGTCATTTTTGAAACCCATGCCTTTATGACCAATACCTTGGGCTCCTCCTTGCTTTAAGAATGCATTTCAATGCACCCTTAGGGTGCATCCAGACACGCACACATATGCATTTCAATGGGGACAAATAGCAACAACACATAGTTGTGCCACTGCTACTTGTCCCAGGGGAATGCCCCTGCACGTGTGCTCTAGCACATGGCAAATTGCCCCCGGTGGGGTAGGGGAGGATGAGGTTCCAATGGAAGCTCCACTCATGGAGCATTTTGTAGGGGCGTGGACAACATACTTTTTAGCTGCTTTTATAGAGGGGGAAGAACTGCTGGTCAGGAGGGCACATCAACTGTTACAATGTAACTGTTACCTTTGCCAGGTCCTACAGTGATATGTTTGCTAAATCACCCTAATTTAGATTGAAAGAAACAGGGCTAATGCTATAGCACAGTGGTCTCTGACCTTTATAAGTTGGAGACCACTTCTGGAATTTAAAAGGAATGGAAGGATCTACCATATGCCGCTGCCATGCCAAAGCAGAGGGAGAAAAAATTATTTGGGAGCATGCTTCCTCAGCAGGTAAGTCTGTGGGGGAAGGGGTGGGGGGAGGGGGAAGATCAAGACCCCAGCCCTAGCCCTATGCCCTCCCTCACCTCTGGGGCCTCGATCTGTTCCCCTCCCCCCGCCAAATGGTGGTGAGCAGGGAGCACGGTTGGAACAGGGTCAGGCCCTGCACAGCCTGGGTTGGGTGGGATGGGATGCAGCCACGAGTGGCTCATCTGGGGGGCACGGGTAGAGCGGGGGACACACATCCCAGAAGGGCACGGGGTGGGTGTGCCCCCAGAACTGAGCAGGGCAGGGCAGGGTACAGCTGCCAGCTGAGGTCAGGCTGTTCCCAGCAGAGGTTGGGGCTGTGCAGTGGTGGCAGCAGCACTAGAAGTGAGGCTACAGGGGGCTGCAGCCACCTGAAAATTTTCTATAGTGCCCTCAACTCCCGTCCCAGTGCCGCCACTGCCCAGTCTGAGTGCAGGCCCCAGCCTCTGCTGGGAACAGCACTGCCTCCCTGTCTCAGCCAGCAGCAGCAACCTGCCCTCTCCCATGCAGATCCAGGGAACACGGCCCTCATGTCCTCAGGGGAGGGAGGGTGGAAGCAGTGTTGGGCTGTTCCTGCTGGAGGCCGTGGTCGGGCTGGGTGGTGGAGGTGCTGAAAGGGGAGTTGGGGGCACTACAGTAAATTTTGGGGTGGTTGCAGGCCCCCACAGCCCCACTCCCAGTGCCACCGCCACCACATGGCCCCAGCCTCTGTCGGGAACAACCCAGCCCCAGCCCACAGCTGCAGCCCACCCCGCCCTACCCCATGCAATTCTGGGGACATGTGCCCCCCCGGTGCCCTCCCACCCTGCGGCCCCTGGATGTGCTGTTTGCAGCTTCACCCCGCCCCATCCCAGCTGTGCATAGCCTCCTCCTGCTCCAGCCCTGCTCCCTCCCTCACCCCTGCTGCAGCCACCCGTGCTGCCACACATCGGGGGGGGGGGGCACATGCCCCCTGATTTGTGCATGGCAGAGGTGGTTCCTGCTGTGGGCTGGGCTTTGCACCCTGAGCCCCACCACAGTTGGCCCAGGAGTAGCCTGATGCCACATGTGTCTGGTCACCGGGTGGGCAAGGGAGGAGGCTTAGCCCAGGGAAGGATGCATGTAGCATTGGGCTGCTCCCAGGCCAGCTGCAGTGGGGCTCAGGGCACAAAGCCCAGCCCACAGTGGGAGCTGCCTCTGCTGGACACAGATTGGGGGCAAGTGCCCCCTGGGGCCTCCACTTGGATGCACACAGCAGTGGGAGCCCTCCTCCCTCTCTGGATTAGCTGCCCAGACTCAATCCTCCCACCACCTGCCCAGCCAGGACCCCATTTACTGGGCTGCTCCTGAATCTGTCCCTTGCTGCAAGGGCTTCGATTTGGCCTCCACCCCTTCCCCCACCAACTGATGTATTGGACATGCATGCGTGCCGTCAGCGCCCCCCAGCCCAGAATAAATGGGTCAATCCCAACTGACCAAATGGTGACCACTGCTATAGCAGTTTTTCTATCAGATCACTACAGAATCCTGCAGATGTAACAGTTACATCATAACTATATAGGTATCATTATATAGGTATCATTTGATATCAATACTACTGTTATGTCTATCTCTGTCTATATAAATCCCCACACCCCTCCCACCTGCCCTCACACCCCACAAACCACACACACACACACCAGTGTTGCCTGCACTGACTGCAGAAGAGGACAGTGTGTTCCAGAGCCACACCCCCAAAATGCCACACAACTCCCCCCAACATTCCCTGTGCCCCCCCCACACAGCCACACCCTCTTACAAACTCCCCCTACCCTAAACACCCCCACACCCTCCATCCACACACATACACCCCATACCTCACTATACACCCCATCACACACTCCCACACAATATAAGACTAAGAATTTATTTTGAGTTATTATGCAATCACCTCTATATACAATATACAAACACAACTCATGATAAAGTATTTTTTGTAATAAAATTAAAATATGTTATAGTAGGTGTTTGACTTTTAGTGTATGATTTGGTTTTTTCTGGTTCTAAGATGGCACCCCTCCCACCCCCAAAAGGTAGGGACTTCTGGTGGCAAAAGTCAGGGGCTATGGGTGGGACATCCAGCCCTAAGATGGCAGCCAGGGGTGGGGCACCTGTCAAGGGGTGGTCTACCCATGCAGCCCTTGACAGCTCACCAAACTTCATTACGCGACCCTCTGCCTGAAATAATTGCCCATCCCAATACAAGATCATGCCTTAGTCTGGTTAACAACTGACAGAGATGCCTGAAATCAATAGGAGGTATTGTTCTATAGAAAAGACTAAATTGCTAAGCATTCTTATATATACCAGTCTCCATCACTCACAGCATTACATGGTTAATAATAATTTTTCAATTAATGCTTTTGCCATCATGTTTCCACACACAAGCTATTATATGACACAGGCTCTAGATTATTTGCTTTGCAGCTATTTCTAATGTTTTCTAGGATAAAACAATAAATCTTTGGCTGTACTTGCAGCTATACTTCAAGGCAGAAAGCATAACTTTTGAGGTTTTGGTGTCGAAGAACCCCAGCATAGCTCTCAACCTTACAAAGCTAAATGGGAGAGCTAAGTTTACAAGAAATCCACATTTTTTCTGGGTGTGTCTACATGTGCATTAATGCACATTAAATCTAGTTACCTCCACTGTGAGGTATTCAGGCTAATGAGCCTTACCCTGGCTCAATGCATACTAACTAAAGCATTAATGCACATTGGCCTATTTTAATGCACATTATGTAAAAAGCATGGTTTTTACATGATGCTTTAATGTGCATTAAAATAGGCTAATGCACATTAAAGTGCATGTGTAGACATACCACGTACATCTGTTGTAACTTTTTGTAAGTCAGTATTTATGATCTAAATAAGGTACAGTAATAAAAAGAGACATTCATCAGGTTTAGCAAGCAGAGGTAAATTTAGATTTAAAATAAGGGACACCCCCTGTAAAGAAGGTCAGCTGAAAAGCATGGTCCCTTGGCATGGTCAATAAGGCAATCAGAAACCACCCCCTCAGAAATCAAACTAGAATTCCAGGTAGAAAAGAGTGCAAGCACTCCAAAACCTTGAGCACACATGCTTGCTGAGGATAAAATCAACTGGGGAGAAGGAGAGGAAGGGAAATTAAAGCTGACACATGGTTATGCAAAGCGAGTCTGCAAGTGCTTCAGAATATTTCTGACAAGCGAGTGGAAGGTAATCAATACTTGTAATCAGAATATGGGAGTGAAGTAAATAGACACTGGATTCACCTGCATTTTGGATCTTTCCAAGGCCCTGAACTTGGCCTTCTACACCCTTAAGATCTACAAGTAGCTTGTTTTATGTCATTAGGTTCAAACCAGGATGTAGTCAACTTGTAAAAATCAAACAAAAGAATAAAAAAGGAATAGCAGTTTTTGAGAGCCTTAAATAGTTTCTGCCTGATTTTTGTAGTGCTGAGTATACACAGATCCTATGGAAATGAATGGCAGCAGGAGGTGCCATTTGAAGAACCATGGCACTTAGCTGTTGTAGATGACACTGCCTTTTCTTTTTAATGTTGGCATTTGTATAGTGTGCAGCAAACAAAATAAAACTAGTGGCTGTTCAATTCATTCATTGTGATGAGGTGACAACAGAGAAAAAGAACTTCAGGAAAGTAGGGAAAAAGAGGTTTGCTATCTTAACAAGTCAAGAACTGTTAGGTGCATTCTGACATACACTGTCGAAGTCTTCCAACTGGCTGGCTCCTACAGCTCTGTAAAAACTAAAAGCAAATAGAAGGTGAGCACAAGAACTGGGTACAATATAGAAAACTGCATTACAGAAGTCAGTGGAGCAGATGAACATTCACGAGTGGGATGCCACAGTTTGGCTAGTCACATTTAATCAAAAGTGACAAATAAAGCAGTCATGTATGTAGTAAAAAATTACAGTCATTGGAGAGAGAAAGGACTTTTTTTTTAAACTGTCACTGGAATGGCAGAGGCTTCTGATTTTATCTGATGGTCATGCCTTGTACTCCAACTGGCAAGCAAACAAAATGAAATAACTGAAATGTAGTTTCTGGCTAAAACACAGTGCAGTGCTTTGCACTTAATTTTTTCACAAGGCTTTTCATCTCAAAGGATCCCAGTGATCCTTGGAAACAGGATTCACTTCACCCACCACTGAAGTGCTGCCACCTCCAAGATGGAATGTAACAGCTGCTTAGCAGTGCACAGCAACATTAGATGATAGTTTAATAAAGGCACCGTGGAGGAATATGGTATCCTGTTAATACTGAAGCAGAGTGGCAAGGCAGAATTACTACTTGAAACAGTAAGCACAGCAGCTTTATGCTTGGTTTTATCAAATAAGACCTAGATTTCCTAGTTTCTGGAATATAACCAGAAGAGGCTGGCCCTTGTAATGCAGATCCCAACCTAACTTTCTGTAGGTCCTTCACTGTCATTAGTCGAGTGCCTGCCAGTATAGATATACAAGGACATACTTGGGCTGACCACTCACCTAGAAAAGCTTCTCATAGCATTTATCACAGTGGACAATGTCACGATGAATGAATATTTTGTCCAGGAGGTCTCCCATTGCCTTATGGCAAATTCCACACTGTGAAAACAAGCACAGACAATTGGACAGGGGACAAAGCTCTATTTAGAAGAATATGTATGAAGAGGATAGAGAAATAAGTCGTAGTCTCTACATTTTAATGGTGGTGACAAATGCCAAGTTGAAAGCCCTGAATCCTAAACTCTTCTACTTCTATGAGGTGCAGCACAAGTCAGGTTAGTTCAGGTTTCCCCCACAGACCTGGAATTTCACCACACTGATCTATAAGCATAAGAGAAGTAGAAGAGAAGCTCTGTAAAACTTGAGAGGTGCTAAGTAGTTTGTGCAGTGGGATGGAGTTTGCCAAAAGACAGTTCTAGTATGTGGACTGCAACAGGTAGGGGGAGAATTCATAATGAAAATGCCAGTATTCAATCCAAATGATAACACAAGAATATGTTTTGTCTATCATAAGGTCATCCAGAGATCAGAAGGTATACTTGTGTATACTGTCAAAACCTGTGGGAATGTGAGCTCCTAGTCAATGGTGGACCCAGGTCTCTTCACCCAAATGGAATACAGCATACTTTTACTTTTAAAGTTTCTAAGCAAATGCCCCAAGATTATGTCTTCACCCATGAGTCCCCTGCAGTTACTTTACACACTACGAAGTGGAGAATGACTGAAAGGAATAAGGTCCCTTACCCTAAAACAGTATTCATGACAGCAAATGTTGAGATGCTCTATCATTATCTTAGGGCAGTCTCGGATCTCACGGCCACAGTATGTGCAGATTCTATCAACTGCCCTGTGGAAATGGAGAAAAATGTACTCGTGAATCACCTTACCATGATGCCTCCATACCACAAGCATTAGCAAAGATGGTTTTGTATCTAACACCAGCATTACCATTTCTTGTGGCCGTCTACCTCTGCAGTATGAAAGCTGGTGTATATCTAGATATCAACTAGCTGTGCCAAGGGACAATACAAAAGGTAAAGGTGGGATTCCATGATTGCTAGAGTTCAAAGTTACTTCCAAAGCAGCATGGCAATGAAAAACACTGTTTCAATACTTTCTCTATGCCATTATGGTCAATGCTCTTTATTCTCTGACCACTCTAACATTTTTGAAGAGAAGCTGAGGAAAAACACAAGATTCCTCTGAACACCTACAGATATTACAAAAATTACAGAAAGATCATGTACAATAAAGTCATAAAGAATACTTCTGTATATTGGTCTACTGAAACCATTCTGGTATAATTCATTGTCTTACCTTCGTGGGGCACCACTGTGTTGGTAGCAGGTGTTACTGTACCTTGCTCTCTCTCTGTCAGTCAAATCAACTAAGCTGCCACTGAAGAAGAGAGGAAGAGAAATACCACTGCTTGACAATGTTGTGTACAAGGAATGGTCCAAATGGTTAAATGAGCAGTGCAGGGCATCCCCAAATTCTGACTGGGGATGCCCTGCACAGTACTGCTTTGAGATTTTCCAGCCGCCTGCTCTTTTAAAGAGGGCTGTTCATTACCAACTAAAAATCAAAAGGCCTTTCCATAAAAGTAAGCAATGTGCTGGTTACAGCCAGTGAACTTTCAAAGGAGAGTGAATCTTCTCTTTAGCTAGAGAAAAATACTGCATAGGGGACAACAGCAAGCTCCTCCAATCCATGCCCTGCCATCAGTGGTGCTCAGATTCTGACCCAAAGCACCACTTAGTGGTAACAAAAGATAATTTAGGCTCCATAGTCCACTCAGGCATTGACTATATTACAAATTTTTGCCTGCATAGCTTTGTTGAAAATATGACAAAACCAAGCTGGTGAACCCGCTGGTGTGGACACAGCTCAGCTGAAAGATGATGGTTTCTGCTGGAAAGGCTTCTGTCATTTGAGGTACCTTGTGGCTATCTATTGACAGAAAAACTGCTAGCAGAACTGTCTTCAGAAGCAGGTTCTACTACTGTAGTTCTGCAACAACAGTTACAATGGCAGGATCTGCTTTGTGTAGATTAAACCTCCGTACTGCACCAATGGAGCTAAATATAATAGTGAGAGTGCTAATCATAGAATCATGGAAAAGTAGGGCTGGAAGGAACCTCAGGAGGTCATCTTGTCCAGCCCCAGGCACAAGGAGGGACATCCCTATTCAAACCATCCTAGCTTATCTAACCTATTTCTAGAACTACACAAACAGCCTTGTTGCACAACTACAAGGCACGTAACGCAAAGGCACAAAGAATATTCTAACCTGCCACAAGGAAAGCAGTGGGATGAGGACACTGTCAACATGCTGCCACTGCAAGGGTTGTTAAATACTCTTGAGAAATCCAATCACGGCATATGATATTATGACATGAACATCTATGAACTGGACCAAAACCACCATCTTATTTTATACTGATCACCATGCAGGAGCAGTCTCAGCTCTCATGAACTAAGGGGCACAACTCTTTATGCCAGTTAGGCCAAGATGTTATACATGTCCTAAAAGCTATTTTAGGATATCATTGTTATTTTTATTCTATATAATTTAAAGGGCCTAAGACACTCTCCACACAAATAAAAGACATAAATCTCTGCCTCAATGCTTACCATTCATTGAATAGATCAGGCATTTCCTAACATTTCAGCTGCCTACTTTCCTTGAAAACTTTACTGTTAGAAATGCTGTGGTCCCCTAAGTAAATATCTGTGTTATTTTCAAAAATAGCACTGCATCTCTTTGAGGGCATGTCACTGCAGCAGCTTTATGCATCCAGGCTCCAAAGCATTCCCCCTGTCCATATGCTACTGCCCACATGCTCCAAACCTGGAAATGCACCAGTGAGGCTACTCTTAGAACCCACCTCTAGTATGCCTGAGGGCATCTCTGGGGACTACCTTGAAGTAGTTGCACTAGTGTATTTCTGGGCTTGGAACATGCAAGTGGGATTGGATGGATAGAGAGCATTAGGGGATTTCATAACTGTGTCTCAGTGCCAGCATGGTGTGAGCATGTCAGCACAGAGGCCTGCTTTTGACATCAGACAAGCTAGAGGTTGATAACTAGAGTCCTCAGCCACAGCAGTGTTACAATCTGAATGAAGACAAAAATCACAGCAGGCAGGCATCTTAACAGGATGTTAATTGTTTCTTTGGCTCTACTAAGTCTAGGTTAACTGAACAAAACTTAACACATGTTGACAGTTTAGGCTTAAAAAAAGGCAGTTTTACTCTCGAGTGAAAACCCACAAATACCTCCAGTTTTCTCACTGAATTAAACAATTTTTAAAAATATGCAATGAAATGCAGAGGCTTGGGAATTTCAGTATGACCCTTTCAGAGATTACCCTGATGGAGTGACCCAATTCATTCTTCACCCTGCCGAGAAGTTAACCAATGGCACCTCATACCTCGTGTAGCGTGGAGAGGATGAAAACTCACTGCTGTTCACATACTCCTTCACAAAGAGGATCCCTTTGCTAGAGAAAGAGAGAAACATCTATATCAATGGAGACATGAACTAAGCACTGTGAAAGTACAAATGTATGTTCAGGTTGATGTATATGTGGTGCACGTGCATGCATGTACATGTGTACTAGGGGTATGCGAAGCAGGCCCTATTCAATTTGGATTTGGATTCAGCCCGAATCAGGGACAGTGATTTGATTAATTAATTCAGATCACTGTCCCTAATTTGATTCAGCCAAATCCAAATCTGAAAATTCGATGCCGATTTGGAGAATCAGCAATTCGGACACAGACACAGCTTTAAATGTTTTTGTTACATACCTCTAGGTACCAGCATGGCTTGTGAACACTGCGATGGTGGGGCGGATGGAGTCCCACAGAAGTGTGGGCGGGGGGGCCTCCATGTCCTTGGTGGTGAACCCGGAAATACTTCTGGTCCACTTCTGAGTCCACTGGGAAGTGCATTGGGGGCCCCCCAGTGCCCCTCCTCCCCCCCCAGCTCAACGATCAGCTGCGGGGTGACCCAGGGTGCCCCCCCAGACCCAGGAGGCACCAGTCACTGAGCCAAGCGGGTGTGGGGGGGCCCCCCAGCAGACCCGGAAGTGGACCGGAAGTACTTCTGGTCCACTTCTGGGTCTGTTGCTGAGCATGCTGGGGAGCCCCCCCACGCTTCTGTGGGACACTCCATGCACCCCAGCAGCGCAGCACTCATAAGCCACCTGCTATTTAGAGGTATGTAGAAAAAACATTTAAAGCCGTCTCTATGTCCAAATCTCCAAATCTTTCTGAATCTCTCCAAATAGATTCAGAGGGTCCTGATTCGATTTGGAGAGATTAAAGGATCCTCTGATTTGATTCGGATTCGGAGATCCAGCCACTAAATCAGGCCGAATCTCTGCCGAATCGAATCAGGGACCCAAGCTTCGTACAGCCCTAATGTGTACCACATATATCCACAGCAAGGGGGAATGGCTGGATGCAGCTGCTGTTGGATTGCTATGGAACTGCAAGCACCATTGATAAATATTGAATATAATAACTATAAAACCAAAGTCTAATGAAGTACATCAAAAAGTCAGATTAACGAGTGGAATGTAATAATAATGACACAATTGTTGCATCTAGTTTCATCCAGTCTGGCAAAGACAGAACCACCACTTTTATATGATATAAAGGTTTAATATGCAGGGAAAGATAATGGTTATGCCCTTTAACATGACACATTGTCTATTTTAGGATTACTCAGACTGGCTGTTTTGTCACTGAAAGATCTATATTTTTATATATTGCACACTGATGGTTGTCTATTTATTGTGCTGCATTATCTATTTACTGTGCTGTAGAGAAGAGAATTAGTCGCCTTTGTACCCATTCCTTCCTTTGAAATGCTATTTTTAGAATGACCTGCATACTACCTATCTGTTTGGAACTCTGTCAGATCCTCAGTGAGACATCATGCCCACCAACTTGCTTCTAGGAGAGCAATGAACAATGGGAAAAAAAACAAACCCAGAAGCTGAGTGCAAGTGACCTTTTTCCATTTTTTTTTCATCCCTGCCTTTAGGCTATCAATAATTCTTTCTTTCTATGTGAACAAATGACATGTGAGCACAAATGACACAGCTCAGAGCAATCCCAGCCAGGTCATGAGTGGTTACAGGGCTCTGGGACCGGGGCTTATGGGGTTGGGGGTGCAGGTGTTTTTTTCCTTGATCCTTCCAGTTATGGGGCATGGGCAGAGGAGGAAGAGATGAATTGAGGCAGTAAACAGAAGACTGTGGCACTGGTGCCACCATCAAGGTTTCGGTTTCTGCAACCACAGCCCGCTCTTCAGAAAGAAAGGCAGTGATCTGTTGTGAAGAGATGGCCTCCACATCACTCCACTGGGGAAGAAGCTCTTCTTAGTCAGAATGGCTGACTTGCTCAACTGGGCTTTAAACTAAGCTTGCCAGGGGATGGGCGGAAAACCATTGGACCAAGCTCACCAAGCATCAACCGCAAAACCAGCAGGTTAGGATGCTTAAGGGAACCCGCTCTTACCCCACCCCAGGAACAGAGATTCTCCATAAGTACAAAGAAGCCTAGGGCCTCCAACGGCACACTTACATACTGTACACTAATGCTAGGAGTTTGGGGAATAAACAGGAAGACCTGGTCCTTCTGCTAAACAGAAATGACTACGATCTCATAGGGATCATGCAGACCTGGTGGGACTCCTCCTATGACTGGACACCTGGTATAAATGGCTATACTCTGTATAGGAGAGATCATGCTGAAAAAAGGGGCAGGGGTGTAGCTCTCCATGTAAAAGAGAGATACACATCCCTGCAAGCTGAGATTGGCACCCAAGGAGGACAACTGGAGACCCTTTGGGTTAGAATATGAGAAGAACATAGAGAAGGGAATACAATGGTGGGAGTTTACTACAGACCTCCAAACCAGGAACAAGTGCGAGGCTACACACTCTCGGTGCATGGTCATCATGGGAGACTTCAACTACCCGGACATCTCATGGGATGAGCACTTGACCAAATCTGATTGGTCACAAAGCTTCTTTACATGCATGGATGAGCTCTACCTGTCCCAAGAAGTTTATGGGCCAACAAGCGGCAAGGCACTGCTGGACCTGGTACTGGCCAAAGGGGGTGATCTAATCAGTGATCTAAGAATCGAACAGAAGCTGGGTGACAGTGACCAGGAGTTGCTCACTTTCACTATCCATCGCAAAGCTGGCAAGTCCTTGACTTTAGGAAAGCTGACTTTCATAAACTCAGAGGGCTTGTTCTTGAGGCCCTGAGAGGCCATGATTTGACAGGGAGGGGAGTTCATGACGAGTGGGAGATCTTTAAGGAAGCAATCCTAGAAGCACAAGGGGAGTCCATCCCCACCCATAGGAAAGATGGTAAATGGGCTCAACAACCCCCTTGGCTCAACAGGAAACTCATGGACCTCCTACATCTAAAAAGAGAGGGTTATAAAGGATGGAAGACAGGAAACACCACTAAGGAGGAGTATACTGAACTGGCCTGCACCTGTAGGCATGTGTGACTGGTGCCTCCTGAATCTGCGGGGGCACCTGCAGAAGCTGCCAACAGCAGCCCTGTTGGGGGGCACCAGCCCTACTGACAGCATCAGTGTCTGCCATTGGGGGGGGCCCCCCACCAGCCCCATCGGGGGGGGCACATGTGCCCCTGTGCATCCCTTACCAGTCGCCTATGCCTGCAGGGAAGGAACTAGAAAAGCCAAGGCTACAACTTAACTCCATCTGGCTATACAAATCAAGGACAATAAAAAGTCCTTCTTCAGATACATGGGGAGTTGAAAGAAAAACAAGAGCAACATTGGACCCCTGCTGAGCCAGCTGGGGCAGCTGACTACCGACACCCAGGAAAAAGCCAATCTGCTTAATGATTACTTTGCATTGGTTTTTCACCAGCCCAAAGGGACCACCCTGCCTAATATGATGTGGGATGACCAGGGTGAAGATGAATATATGCCCACCATTGGCATTGATCTTGTAAGGGAGCATCTTGAGAGGCAGGACCCCCATAAATCAGCTGGTTCGGATAAGTTGCACCCAAGAGTGCTAAAGGAACTGGCAGACATCATAGCGCAGCCACTGGTGACGATATTTGAGAACTTGTGGCACTCAGGGAAAGTACCTGAAGATTGCAAGAGGGCCAATGTGGTGCCCATCTTCAAGAAAGGGAGGAAATAAAACCCGGGAAACTACAGGCCAATCAGTTTGACCTCAATCCCTGGGAAGATTTGCAAAAAAATTATCAAAGAAACCATTCTTGGCAGGCTAACAGAAGGCAACATTCTGAGGGACAGCCAGCACGGGTTTGTTGTGGGCAGGTCTTGCTCGACTAATCTCATTTCCTTCTATGACCAGAAGGAAATCAACTTCTCTCTGGACAAGAGAGAAGAGGTTGATGTCATATATTTGGACTTTAAAAAAGCTTTTGACCTGGTGTCCCATGATGTCCTCATGGAAAAATTGGGCAACTGTGGCCTCAACTACTCCACAGTCCGATAGCTGGAGAACTGGCTCCGAGGTCAAACCCAAAGAGCTGTAGTTGACGGAACAAAATCAACACTGCACTCGGTGATGATTGGTGTCCCCCAAGGCTCTGTTCTTGGACCTGTACTCTTTAATATCTTCATAAACAATCTGGACACTGGTGTCTAAAGTGGACTGGCCAGGTTCACTGACAACACCAAACTTTGGGGATGAGTCTCCACACTTGAAGATAGGCTGGTGATCCAGGCCAATCTCTATAGGTTTGCAAGGTGGGCGGATGAAAACCTGATGGCATTCAATATGGAGAAATGCAATGTGCTCCACCTCAGGAACAAAGATCTGCATCACGCTTATAGGCTCGGCAATGCTACACTTGCTAGCACCATGACCAAAAGAGACTTGTGGGTCACGATTGACCATGAGATGAATATGAGGCACCAATTGGATACTGCAGCTGGCAAAGTGAACAAAACTCTAGTTTGCATCTACCGATGCATCTCGAGCAAGACCTAGGATGTCACTCTCCTGCTGTATTTGGCTTTGGTGAGACTGCAGCTGGAGTACTGCATCCATTTCTGGGCTCCACAATTTAGGAAGGACGTGGAGAAGCTTGAAAGAGTCCAAAGGAGAGCCACGTGCATGATCAGAGGGCATAAGAACAGGCCTTATGAAGAGAGGCTGTGAGCTATGGGACTCTTCAGCTGGGAGAAGTGCAGGATCAGGGGTGACTTGGTTGCAGCCTATAAGTACATAAGAGGTGTGCATCAGGATCTGGAGGAACACCTGTTCATCAGAGCACCCCAGGGGATGACAAGGTCCAATGGTCACGAACTCCTGCAAGACTGTTTTAGGCTGGGCATAAGGAAAAACGTTACTGTCCGAGCCCCAAGTCCTGGAACAAACTCCCCCTAGAGGTGGTGCAAGCACCTACTCTGGACTCTTGCAAAAAATATTTGGATGTTTATCTTGCTAGGATCCTTTGACCTTAGTTGACTTCCTGCCCCTTGGGCAGGGGACTGGATTCAGTGATCTTATGAGGTGCCTTCTAGCCCTAGCGTCTATAAAATCTATTAAATAAAATTAAGCTTTGTTATGGAAAGAACATTTTTATTTTGCATAGACACTCCCCAGGGCAAGTATCTCAAATGAGGTGTCTCTGCTTATACAGTAATTGTTCTGTTAAACAGCATAAGATTATGCCAGCCACCCCCAAACACTGCCCAGAAGAGACCCTCATTAACATCTTGCTAAAAGGTTGAATTTGCATAAAATAGAAGGTAAGGAGAGAAAACTATGGGTTTCAGCATGTAAAGTTGTAGTGCAGCCACATGCATCTGGATGGGATACAGATAAGGGCGCACATAGGTTCCACAGAGTGTATTTTGGCCTCTCAATGAATTCTGTAGCCTGCATAGAATGTGTCCTTTTCCTCAGAGAAGCAGTGCAAAGGAGCTAATTTTAAAGGAGTGAGCTGTAAATGAAATGGAATTAAGAGTATTCCTCCAGGAACCCCAGTCCAGTAATGAAGAGCAGGAAGGCCTGCACGCTAGATCACTTCCTTGTTTCATTTCATATTTCATGGATCATGAAGTACTTATTAGCTAAAGTAAACATAAGAAGTTCAATCTACTCACTGGGTCAGATTCTAGCTTTATCTTCTCCTATATAGCTTCTCCCATAGCTCACAACCTCTCTTCATAAGGCCTGTTCTCATGCCCTCTGATCATGCACGTGGCTCTCCTTTGGACTCTTTCAAGCTTCTCCACGTCCTTCCTAAATTGTCTATCTAAGGGTATGTCTAGGCTGCTCTTTAGGGTTCTAAGGGTATATTTAGGCTGCTCTTTAGGGTTAACCGTGAGTCATTTTTAAATAAGCCATGGGAATCATCCTTCTCCATCTATATTATATCTCATAGTTCACAAAGCTGTCTACATTATCCTTCTTATTTTTTAGTGCAGCACTGAGATATATCCCTTATGGAGCCCTTCCAAGAAGTAATCTGCAGACTTGTCTCTTCCTTAGGGCTTGTCTAAATTTACAGGCAGTAGAGAGAAGACATGGAATACAGAAGGGATGGAAGTCAGAAACAGGGGATTGTAGGATTGCTGCTGGTAGACTTCCTGTGCTAGAGGTTTGCATGTCCATCTAAGTTCGAGATACTCTTCAGGGGGAAGTGGGCATGGAGGTGGAGTAGTGTTGGGGTCAAACTCACACATCAAATTTCAAAGTTTCCAGGGTCTGACTGGATTTTTGTCAGGGTGAAACAGGTAATTACAGTGTCAATGACCTTATGGCTGACACTAATGATCAGTGAAGACATAACCTGTGCTGCTGGTACACCTATCCATGTGTCCCATTTTACTTCAAATAGTGTAATTCACAGGACTGTAAAACAGACTGTAGCCCATTATGATAATTTACACAAGATTCTAAAAAGTGTTCATGATAACAACCACAAAGTCATTCCTTTCCCCATTTACCTTGCAATGTTGGGATCAGACTCACACCTTTTGGCCAACAAACTGCTGTAATGAGAGGTGGCAGGAGAGATGGAGGGCCTCTCACTTGAGTTTGGAGGAAGCCTGGAAAGAGGAGGAAAGTCTAGGAACTCCACAAACCTGAACAACAACAGGAGTCAAGTCTATGTGCTGAGAAGAGGGGACAAGTAGGAATGTAAAAATCTTTACTAAAAGTTAGTTAAGTTGGACCAGTATTAAGGCCTTCACTTGCATGGACTAAAATGTTCTTTTGTCCTTTGTCACATGTAGCAGAGACTTGACAGGAAGAATTGGCTTCTCAGAGAAGTGATCCTTGGGTACAATTAAAGGCAGATCAAGTAAGATCTTGACAAGACCAAAGATCATGCAGCAACATCTCTGAGGTGGGAGGAGCAGAGCCAGATAGACAACTATACACAGCACTCTGAACAACAGGAATGGGAGAAGAAAATATCTGGCCATGGTCAACAGCATAAACTTTTATCCTTATAAAATGAAAACAATGGGATCATGTGTGTCTGCAGAGAGTAGACAGAGTCAAGGTTGTTATGGTGTCACTAGAATCAACCATGCTTAGCAACCTGTATAGGATTTATGCTTATTTTGCCTTGGACAGATGAAAAGCTGAGTTGATCCTGCCTTCAAGAAAAAATGTGGCTCCAAGGTATCTATGAATCCCATGTCCAATGCTCATACTCATTGCAACCCCCTTTGGGTGTAAATTGCAGACCAGATACTCATAGTCTACAATGTGTACATCTCATTTGTACAGACTTATTGTCTGTGAAAAACTGTAGAAAAAATTTGGGTTAGGCTATATCTCCAGCCACTTCCCATAGCTCAGAAGACTTCCTAGAGCTAGCTAACACTCAAATGTTAGATTTCTGAAGATAGTGTACTGTAGGTTCCTGATCTCCTGTTGCCTACCCTGGGATTCTTTCTTTTTCCCCATGATCTTTCTCCACGAGTTTCAACTAGCCTTGTACTACACACACAAAGTCCCCATGTAGAATGGCAGTATATCTCCACCAAGCATTGTACATAGGACACCTGTCACAACCTGGTCCCTTGTAGCATTTCCAGGGACAATTAATGTTGATGAAAGACAGCTCTGTGCATACCAGCAGATACCAGTGGTGCTTGTCATTACAAATCAACCCTCATTCACAGGACACCAATCTTTTCACTTTAATTTTTTCTGCTTTGAGCCACTGGTTTAAAATCTCAACTCAGCTTTCTGGCTCCCATCCCAAAGCATTTGCTTTCCTTCATACCCCATACCAGCCCTATCCTTTTACCTTCTGGTATTGTAGTCTGAGCTGTCTGCATAGAATGGCACCCTGTGACTTCTCTGGGACATGGTTTCAGTGCTCTCTCTAGGATGGGAGTAGTGCCTGCTAAGAAAAAGAAGAGCCATGATCAAACAATGAACTTTGTCAATGGTGGATAATCTACAAATAATCAAATATTCACTGAAGCTTCCCCTCCTCATGTCCCCAATACTGACCTTGAAACCCACAAAACACTACAGTGATTTAAAATACATTTGTGTTAATAGCAGTGCACCGAACATGCCTGTTTCAATTCAAAATAGTACCATGCACTTAAGATATCAAGCAAATAAAGTAGTAGGACATGATTTGTACTAACAAATAAGGCTTTCACCTCACTGAGTGCTTACCTTTCCATGGCAGGGTCAAAATCATTGGCCCTGCTGGCAGGTGGGCTCTCATACCTGGTATATCTGGGACTACTTTCTTCATAATCTGGGACAGACCTAAAAAAGCAAAAATTCTAATAATACCTCCCACGCCAGTCTAGAAACATTACAGGTCTCAGGTTGATTCACTTATATTTTGGCTGAATAGTGATATTTTAATGTACTTCATGCCCCGCCCCCCTTCCCCTCTCTCTGCAATTACAGCTAATCATTTGCAGTCCAGAAGCAATGTAAGCAATACCTGCAGGAGCCACCACCAACACCTCCTAATGAAGTTAAGGTTTCCTTGCCTAGTAGCCTGTAAGTGGGTTTGGGTTGAATGTGTTTGGATCATCCAGGGTTCACAAAAAAATACCACTGCAACTTTTGCAGTTCCCAGATGCTGAGGAGCTGACCCTGATGTGGCAACCAAAACATTTCAAGCAGTCCAGGATGGATCCAATTGGGGAATATTTTTAAACTGCAGGCAGACCTCTGTTTTTTTCAGATAACGTAGAATTTTCAGAAATTCTTATTCTTCTCTTGCAAGCTCTTTGGGGGACAGATCATGTCTGTACTGCACCCATACTTCACCCAAAGTCTCGGAGGAAGCACAATGGCAGATCCCCTGAATCTATGTCCAGAACCTCACCAGCTACCAGGCCATCCTTCTTCTCCATGTTCTGGGATAGCTGGTCATGCTAATCCACATGTCACTTATCCCACCATGTATAAAAGTGGCTTCCATAGTCAGTTTCACATTTCTATATAATAGTTCCCAAGCCTGGACCAGAGTTAAGTACTTTCAAATTTGCCTTCAGACACCTCCCTAAGCAGCTCACTTAGTTTTCCCTGTGTATTTTCCTCATTCCCAATCTCCATACCTTCCAACGTTGTATACTGTTCTTTCTAGGTAGGATGATATCCTTTGATTGGGCTCTGACATAATGAAATTTTGTTTCTGGCTGTCCATATGTGAGGACATCACATGATGGGTACTGACAACATTCTCCTTAGAGTAAGAGCTGGACCTGTTAAAGAATTAGAGATACCACAGCCTTTAAAGTCCTCCAGAGAATGGATTTCTTTTTTCTGATTAGTAATTGTTATCTCATTCATATTCTATATTTTCTCCTATGATGCTAGAGTAGATATTCCCTAGATGGTAAATGAATACACAACTAAATAGTGTTATAAGTAGTGCTTGCAGTTAATCATATGACTGGGAATAAAGATGAACAAACATGCTGAGGGGGAAATAGTCTTGCCCTACTATTATCATTATTGTAAATAGTTTTATATTACAAGCAGAACTCCATGGCTAACATAGGCAGCCACTTAATTCATAAAAATAACAGGTACCGTTTGCCATCTCCCATTGATATACATATTAAATGCTCTGTTTAAGCTGCATTAAGTTAACTGACTAGTGCCTACAGAAACAGTATGTATTCCGCTGTTTGCGCCTCCTTCTGCCTTCTTACAGAGCAATTGCTTTGCCATTCACAGGTTGGTAAGCTCAATTAATAACTCCACTGCTAGTCAGTTTCAGAGCCATTATTGACAGCCCTGAAATAGACTGATGCTAATCAGTTTCATAGCCCCCTATTAAAAACAGAGACACTGGGCACATCTGCACATGCATTAATGCACAGTAGTTACTGCGTATTAAGTTTAGTACCCTTAACAACAGGTACTAAACTTAATCTGCAGTAACCAGCACTACTGCATGGTAGCACTGGCACATGCCTTTTATGTGACTATAATGTGCAGTAGACATTCTACTATGCATTAGTGCAGTAGCATGGCTTTTGCCATGATGTGTTAATGTGTAGTAGAACTAGTCTACTGCGTATTTAGTGTTTGTGTAGATGTGTCCATTGACTACCAGCTATTAGTTTTAGTGCTTTGCTCTTTCCTGCCATGTTTGTTGCTACAACCATAAAACTGACAATAATACACAGCACTGAAAGAGGCTGAGATGGGCTACAAGGTTTAGCTGCCCATTGCGCATATTAGGCAGCCAGCTTTTTGTCATATGAGCATTTGGAGTTTTTCCATTAACTCTAATACTGCTAGAATTTTACTCATAGTACAAATCAACGAATGGGGGTGACAGGACATAAGGATTCAAGAACCATCCGTATGGTACTGGCTTCTTACTTTACTGTGTTCAGATCAGGCTCATTGTGACTCATGGCTCTAGGACTGTCATGACTGGTCCCCGCTGGGGTGGAAAGTCTCTCTTCATAAGCTGGGGAAGTCCTGATAAAGAAGGAAAAGGCTTATCATCACCTTCAGCACCTGTTCCTGACACAATTTGCTGAGAAAGTGAGATCAAACAAGGTTATTAAAAATTGACTCCATTAGTAGCAGTGTGTCAATATGTGGTGTGTTACTGCCATGGTATCTTTTTTTAGAACATCTTAATGTACACCCTTCTCTTCCTAGTGGTGAAGAAACAGGCATTTGCACTGTCTCTGTTGAGACTAAGGTGGGACTAGATCATGAGGATACAAGATGTAAACACAATACATGTGTGGGCTTAGTCTCAGCCTCCTTACCTTGACACGTTCAAATCAGGTTCATTGTGCTCTACATGTTGGATCTCTGAAGTACAGATGCTGCTGTCTCTAGATGTGGGGCTAGATCTGCTAAAGAAGGAGAGTCATTACAGTCTGCAAAGTGTTTTTGATTTTGTGGCAGTGCACCTTTGGGTCTTGGGCATGACCTCAAACTGCACCCTGCTGGGATAGGGATGCCTGGCAGGACTGCCACTGGCATGGCAGACCCACTCAAATACCAGGACCACTCACCTCCCCAGTGAAAGGCAAGTTGGGGCACCTTAATAACCCCAGCCCCCACAACACTGTGGGCAAGGGGGCCAGGCACGGCTATGGCCATCTGAGCCCCAGGGGGTATAAGACCCCAGGAAAGGAGTGGCCACCTGAACCCACAGGGGTGAAAGACCTCAGAGGCCCCAGCAGGGGATAGCCAGAAGGGCAGCACATGGGCCAACCCTGATGAAATTAAGTTGTAGGGTGTGAAGATCCCAATAAGGGGCTAGGATAGAGTTAGCCCTCCATTTGGTGAATTGACTAGCCACTACCCAGGTAAGGGTCATGAGAAAAGCCCAAAAGACTGCATGTCACCACCCGAGGTGTGACTTGAATAAGCCTGATGGCCTATGGGGCTGCTCAAGGGAGCAGGGCAGAGTGAAAGGGGCACAGTATTGTGAGGTGAGCAAGAGACTCTGTGAGAGAGTGTGGACTGCAGGAGGCCCCAGTGAGAGTGGGCAGTATGAGTGAATGAGACCTGACATAGGACTAAGTCAGCCCAGCTTTAGGCCAGGAGCATAGTGATATACTGAATGCCATCTGCGAGGCATGATCCATGGTGTAGGGGTAGTACGGAGTCATGGATAGTGCCTCCTAGCATCAGGGCATGTAATGGGCAGCCTCCCAGATTTACTACTAGCTTAGTGTAATAACAAAGTCATGGCAGGAGAGACTGGGTGGCCCGCCCCCATGGACAGGTGGGTGGGCCGGCTTGAGAGCCGGCCCTGAGCATGCCCCCTGTCACAGATACTAGCTGGGAGAATCTGACTGTGAAGAAGCAAACTGTCTTACGAAGGATCTGCCTCAGAAATATGTGAGATCCCAGTGTGGCAAGAAGCCAATATACTGCACAGTGATGTGGAAGAGAAAGGAAAAAAAGTATCTGAATTCAGGGTCCATGTTAAAAACTGTTTCTAGGTTGAACATTTGAAAATTTGACCCTGAAAGAAGAGAGAAAAGATATGGCCTAATTAATATGAATTCCCTGTTTATTCTCACCATCACATGAGGGTTACTTAATCAGTGACTGTTATTGCTGAACTAGTACATCTACATCTAGCCTTACAATGGTAACTTTTCTTAGACTCTGTTTACTAAAGGAATATAAACTGACCATATTGGATACTGATTATAGGAGAATATATATTGTATTTCCTGGCCCACCAAGGAGGGTTTCTCTCTGCTGGAATTACTCCAAGGAGATCTCTCTCTCTCTCTCAAAAATTCTTGTACTTGGTTGGGGTGGCACTTCACAAATATTCATTAGCATTCCCTGGATCATTAGGATTTCCTGGCATAAAACGAAGTTCCTTTGCTCTAAAGACTTAAACAGAAACAAATACAGGGAGTCCTCGACGTACATTGTTTCAACTTACAGTGATTCGCACTTGCGATGCTCTGCCATTTACAACCATGTTATTACTTACAGCACTGGATCCTCACACTTACGGCACGACAGCAACTCAGGCAGCGCTCAAACATCATGCCGTCATGCTGTAAGTGAGAGGATCCAGTGCTGTAAGTAATAACACGGTGGTAAATGGTAGAGCGCTGCAAGTGTGAATTGCTGTAAGTGGCCCTAAGTCTCCCCAAAAATCTCCCCAAAGAAGCCCATCCCATAACCCTGGTGAAGGTGTTCTTTCACCTTCTGATTAAATAAAATTAAATAGCTGATTTAAATATGGTGTTTATGGTCATTTCTATAAAAAGTTGGGCATCAGGCCCTTGGTCAGGAAAGTAACCCCGCTATTATAACATTTTTTCTATGGGAAAATCAGGTTCGACTTACATCGTTTTGACTTACAATGCCTTTTCCAGGAACATAACCCACCGTAAGTGTGAGGACTGCCTATATTGCTAGTTTCTATTGGAGAGGATAAAACAACTCAAGAGGAGATGATTACAATAATTAATTTAACCAGAAACATGGACACCTTATATCTAGCCAAATTCAGTTCAGGCTCAAAGTGCTATGTAGCTGTAGGATATTCATATTTGTTTCCTGTGGGTTTGACAGTGCCACCTCTAGACCATGAGTTGGATCTTTCAAAGGAAAGACATTAAAATCCGTTAAGTGCATCCAAGATTTTTTTGGTGCAATCACAGTTAGAAGAAAAATTCCTTGCGACAGTTCTTCACTGGAGAAGGTCAATAAGGAAACACTTGGGAGAATGAGACATAGGGGATTTGGAAGTATTGTATTATGTCATATACACACTTTTTCTCCCAAAATTGCTGTGTGTGTTTTAAGCGGGGAAGCTATTTTCTTCACTGTGCATACCATGCAGCTGCCAGGGTGATTACCAAGATGGTAGAGTCCTGTGTTAACCCTCTCATATCTATAGCTGTTGACTGAAAACTGTAGGTTGTACCTCAAGAAGCAAGTGAGCTGCTGGTAGTATCTTGATGAGGCTTGTGATGTGGAAAAAATAGTTGAAATACAGGAACTTATATAAAGAACTACTTATGGTAAAAGTTTGTACTGCCCTTACAAGAATCTGGGGCTCAGCCAGGTGTGACAAAGTAAGTCCTTTTGGAAACAGTGTTCAGGAAGTGCGGCATCCCAAAAGATACTCTGTCACACCAGCAATTTCCTGCCACCTGCTCCCTCACCATTGTCACCAGTCAGCATTGACTCTGGAAAGATTTTTTTTTTTTTACCTTCCAAAATTAGGTGTGTGTTTTATTCAGAGGCATATTGTATGCAAGAAAATATGATAGTTTGCCTTGCAGACAGACTCTTCCATAAATGCCCATTTCAAGCTTTTTTTAACCTTCATGTCTGAGGAATATACTGGTTCAGTCTACTATCAGAGATAGGATATTGGATCAAATAGATCACTAGGGATGTGTCCCTACAAACAGGAATGTGTTCCCCTAGGGACAAACAGCAATGGCACAATATGTGCTGCTGCTACTTGTCCCCAGGGAATGCCCATACCACATGCACTTTGGCGCATGGCGTGTTGCCCTGGTTGGGGTACAGGAAGTTGGGGTCAGCAATTATGCTGGCTGCAGCAGCCTTACCTGGGGTCCGGGGAGCTTCTGGGAGCTGCAGCCATGGTGATCCTGCAACAGGAAGCCTGATCGGCAGCCAGAGCATGGCTCCAGCTGGCCATGGTCTGGTTTTGGACAGCATCCAGTGCCACCATGTGCATCACCCTACTTTTTTTAGACCTGGGTTTTTTTGACCCTGGGTCAAAAAACACCCCCATGCTGCAAATTAGCAGTGCAGGGAATGCCTGAATGTTCAGTATGTGTTGTGTGCAGTGCTGCATATGGGCCTGCAGTGCCATATATTGCAAGTCCACACTTGTCTGGATGCGCTCAAGGGGAGCATCCAGACAATCATACACATGCTGGGACATAAATATCAGTGACACATATTTGTGCTGCTGCTTTGTTTCCCAGGGCATGACACTGCATGTGTGCTCCAGCATGTGCAATTGTCCTGGGTAGGATAGGGGAGGCTGGGGCCAGCATGTGTCCTGGGGGCCTCCCGGGGCAGCAGCAGCACTGATCTGGCTGTACAGGGCCTGACTCTGGACAGCCAGGCTCCATTTCTGGCAGCACATGCTGCTGCTGCGTGTACCAGACCACTTTTTTGTGTCAGTTTTTTTTAAACCAGGATCTCCTGGTGTCAAATTTTGATACCATGGTGCAAGTTAGCAGCACAATGAATGGTTGCACGTGTGCTGCATGCAGTTGGAGATGCTACAAACCACATATGCGCACTCCTCTGCATGTGCCCCAGTAGGTTCTAAAATGATTATTACAATGATCCATTTCTGGTACAGGAAACTTGATATCCCATGTTAATGTGGAAAAATCTGAAAATAGGATGGATTCCTGCATGGAAAATTAATTTATTTTGGCATTTGGGGACATCAAATCTTAAGATGCTGTTGGTGTTTCTATCCTGGAGTCTTAGTGGGGTAGTTAGTAGCCATTACTTCCTAACTGCTAACACTATTGTGGGTTTCCCATCTAACATGAATAGTACACTTAGTTGGAGATAGTTACGTATAATGTATCAGCAAAAAAAGAAAAACGCTACTTGCTTTTATAACCAAATGTCATATATCTTTTTATAACACAAGGGAAAAGCTATAGAGATCTTTGTATACCAATATCCATATTTCTAGCAAGAATACTAATAGTCACTGGACACATCTACATGAGACACTGACTGTGTAGTAGCCTGATACTACTGTACAGTAGCATCTTGTGGCAAAAACCGTGCTGAGATGCGACTGCGCAGCAATATTGGCTGCTATGCAGTAGCATCACTTAAAAGGCATTCGTTGGTGCTACTGTGCAGTAACTCCAGTTACTGTGCATTTATTTAGTACTTGCTTATACCAGTAATAAATAAATATGCAGTAACCACTGCACAGTAGCATCTCATGTAGACACACCCAGCAAACGTGACTATTCACTCACTATAGACTCTCACTAGTTTAGGATTTTCTGGCTTGCTGCCATGAGAGAAGATATGTTATTTTGGGACTTTCTGTTCTATGCTTGCCTGGTGCTAAAAGTTAACACAAGAAACAGGTATTTCCAGGCTAAAAAAACAGAACAAAACACAAGTATGGTTTAGAAAAGCTGCAGTCATGCATTTAGTACTCCTGACTGCTTACTTTGTTAAGCTTAGTTTCTGCTCATTGGCCCCTGTCAACCTCTCATATCTTGTGTCTCTGCTAATGCTTCTCTCTTTGTTAACTGGGATATATCTGTAAAGAAGAAAAAGATAAAGTATTTGGTATTGGAATAAACTTAGAAGTCAGTTCTGAGCATGAAGAAGTGGCTAAATAGGGATATTATATCAGCATTCCAATAGGGAGATTAAGCAATAGCAAATTACAGAGTGGGAGGAGTTATTTGACATGGGCTTTATGTGATGTTTAGTCACCTCTCTCAATTCACTGAAAGGGACTGGTAAGCAAGAGATAGGCTTCTCTTACAAACTATTATGCAAATGGATTTGGCTTGAACTCCAATGACTCCTGTAGAAGCCAGAAAAATTCACACCACAGTACTCTGCATCATCTTATGAAGTACAATGCATCCTGCATTATCTGGTGTCCCCCTTCCATTTGTTACTACTGCCTACAGGTACAGAATGTCTCGCAGAAGACAACACTTGATGACCCTCAACCACAAACCAGGTTTTAAGATTCTCAAATCTTTTTTAAGGCTCCGTTTCTTCCCTTCCAAAATATCTTGCACCAAATGTCTCTTGCCCTTGCATACTCTTTTTGCCATAACTACACCACTGTTCCACCTACCCCTGGGAGTCAGCTTCTGAACACTCCACGTGGGATGAGACCCCACTGTTAATGCTCGTGCTAGTGATGGTGCTGTCCCTGGGGCATGACATGGATATGAGGAAAAAGATCAGTATGACTTCTGGGAAAAAGATCTGCATGCCTGCTTTGTTGCATTGTAGCATGAAAAGAGTAGCTTTCAGGATAAAACTTTTACATTGAAAAACAGGGATGACAAGAAGGCAACCAGAATAGGCTCTGGAATATCAGTGTGTTCAGCAGACTCAACACAACAGGTTTATATAGGGAATCAAAATAAAGGTCAAGATATAGGCCCAGAAAGGGTTCCTATTGGTACATTTGTCTGTATATCCTTTTGGACCAAATCCTATCTTCAGTTGCATTCAAGTAGCTCCATTAAAGTCAGGGGAGATTTAGGGGGCAAGTGGGATCCTTTATAATGGGAAGTGAGAACAAGGAATTCATACTTTATTCAAAGTGGCCTAAAGCATAGCCAGAAAGCTAACTGAAGCACGTGAAGTTCTAAATTGCAATCTGCAGCCCTCACCATTTGAAGAATGGAGGTACTTCTGCAGAGAGTGTGAGAGTCACAACATACATTGCCTATTGGGATAGATCTACAGGCAGCCCCTCAGCTGTCTTTGAGAAACAGGCAGTGACATTTTGCTCCACATTGTGAGCACAGGGAGGACCCTGAGGCTTTGGGCAAATTGCCAAAGCAGTCCCTGACCTGGCAATATTTGAATGTCTCTGATTTAATTCATACAAATGACATGGATATTTCTCTCCAACTATAGCTTATCATGCACTAGGCAGGGGAGAGATGTATCTTACAGATTAATTGAATCAGTGAGCAACAGCTCACATCTAGCATCTGATTATGCAAGCTTATGAATCTCTGATTCAGTTAATCTATAAGGTGCGTCTCTACCTTCCCTTCTTCTGACTTCAGAGTAACACAGGTATCTGCCTCTCATCATACACTGATAACAGTGTCAGCCAGCAAACAAACAGCCAGGGAAAGGTCTGCATTTGTTTATGTACATGGCGCACATGCAATAAATTAATCCCTGCTATTTTGGGCTGAGACGTAACAAAAGACAGGGGATCCATTCCTTGACTTCTTACTTTGCCACGTTTGGGTCAGGCTTAGCATGCTTTCTGGCAGGTAGAGGCTCACTTTGAGTGTCATTTGTAGCAGGTACTTTCAGATTCTCAGTATCTTCAGTATTGCTCCTGAAACTGGAAAACCTATGGGGAAAAAAAATCAAGTGTGTTTGTTTAAGGATGTGTGAAAAATGACTAGCTTGAACTGTGTGAAAATCCATTCTCAAAGCAGAATCATCAGGCTGGAAGCTGGAAAAATAGTTAGCTAAGCCTGAGATTTAAAAGCTACCCTAGGGATTTAGAAGCACATTTTCTAACTGAAACTGATGCAAGTTGTGCATGTAAATCCCTCAGCTGGACTTCAAAATTTCAGCTTGATATCTATGATCTGTGACGGTTTCAGAGGGAATGTACTAGCCACTGAAGCATGTCTAAGTGTCAGATTTAGTGTTGCCATGACTCTTTCACTTGATACATGCTCCCACATAAACACACACGCATTAAACATACAGTCTTAGTAACATCATTGCAGGCCTGGGTTATTTTGGGATAAGTCTCTGTAACCCAAGACGTTCTGTCTTTCCTTGCTGATATCAGTAGGGTTGCAGGATATAAGCGACTCAAAGTAAAAAACTTGCTATTTGACTTTTCTTTAGACACTATGAGCTCCTATATACATGTGCAGAGACTGCTCCAACACGCTGGAAATCCAGCGCGTTGAAACAGACTCAATTAATCAAGTCCGCTGGAGCACAGAAATCGATGCACTCTGGCAGCCTTCCGCGTCATGTGTATCAGTGTCCTTGTACTAAAAAAAAAAGGTGGCGGGGCACTTTGAAATAAAACACATTTGATGAGCTTTAAAGTGCACCACCACCATTTTTTCAGCATGGGGATTCTGACACACGATACACAGGTGCTTTTAATTAGCATGGTTTTCTAATTAAAGGGCCCAGTGCTGCATCCCAAAGCATGTGTAAAAATGCCCTAGTTGAATATTCATTGTCCAAACTTCCCTCCCAGGATTCTGGAGTTAAAGTTGCCTATCACAGAGCATCATGAAAAATAAAAAAGCCTCACTACAAAACAATGGGATACTTATATATTTTTCGTTAGGATAGGATGGAAGAATTAGTCAGTCAAATAAAACCTATTGGCTCCCTACCCTCTTGTGCTCATTTCTGCTGTGTAGTAATCTGTTGCTTGAGTCTTCTCCTGTCCTCTCTCTTTGCTAGTGCTTCCCTCTTCATAAGCTGGGATAGAGCTGGCAAAGAAAGAGGAATCCCTTTAATACAGTTACTGTCAGTACCTAAACTACTGGAGGGCTAAATGCAATGTACACAGGATAATTCAATGAAGATCCTGTTTTAATAGAAGATATTTCAAGGATTGCCGCTTCATTCTAGGATACTAAAGTTGTGATAAAAGTGCCTAATACTATAAAGCATGGAATGTTTCCCAAGAGGTGCTGAACATCTTCATTTGCTATGGAGTTCAATGGAATACCAGAGTAGAGAACTTATCATAAGACAAGTCAACTGCTTGCATATCACACACTTGGTTTTTGTCCTGTTGTTCTATATCAAAGTAGCTCCTTTCTCATTATACCTGAGCTTTATCAGGATCCTACCTAGAATTCTCTTGATTTCCTGGAAATTAATGCACTTCCGCTTCATGCTCAGTACTGACTTTATAATACCATAAGAGCTATAAATATGTTCCACAGAATTTCTAGTTTAGTGTCCAAATACTGTGAACTTGGAACTGTGAAGAGTGCCAATGAAAAGCTGAAGAGACCTTTACCCTATATGCTGGCCTGCTTACTTCTGACTAAAAGAATTCTTTAAAAGCAGAGAAGGACAACTCTCACAGCAGTAAATAATGAAAGAGGAGGGACTACATATATAATGAGTGATTAGTATGTATTTATGTAACCCTTCTAGCATACCAGTTATGTGCCATGCAGTCATAATACATAAAAACATAGTAAACTATGACCTATTTGTTCTGCATTTGCCTGAGACAAATGACAATGACTCGTCCCCTAGAGTTGTCCACTGAATTATGGATTCTCAGATGGTCACCTTGGATAGCTGTGCTTCTGACTGCTAAAACAATCATTTGTACAATGGTAACAGCTTTAACTAATCCTAGCTGGTATATCCCAGGTGCTATATCTTTTAGCCTTGACAAATGAATGATGGTTTCCAGGTCTTCCCAGACAAGCCAGTTGTAGGTTTTCCCCTTGTCCTCTGATTTTTTTGTCATAATACCAAATACTGAACTCCTCTTTCATGATCAAACTGAGCATCATTTGCCTACATCTGGCCTTTATAACTGCTGTCTATGGCAGTAACTTTGTTCTCTTGAGAATGAGAGCTGGAACTGCTAAAGAGATGAAAGACATTATGGAAACAATCTAAAGAAATGAGCTCCTTAGTAAAAGATTTTCATGAGAACAGTGTTATAGTATAATGTAAGTGATGGGGAATTAATATAAATGATGAAGTCTCGTTTCATAAAACAAAATTAGCATGGATTTCTTCAGAGAAGAATGTTTAATTTCAAATGTTTATAATGTTGAAGAGCTCAGACAGAATGAGGGAATCATCAGTGTTTTATTAAAATTTTAGTTTCTTCTCACCATTGTGGACATCTACCCAAGAGAGCTTCAAATGAAGGGATATTGGCCAGATAAGTCTGCTATAGTGTCTCACTTCAATGCACACACAGTGAACACAGTGTTCTGCACAAAAGGAAGTTGTTACTGTACTCTGCTTACATACATATCAGATAACTAGATAATTCACTAAACTGCATAACACAAAGCCAGTTCCAAATCTTTGCCCTTGGCTTACATTACAACAAACATTGATTTCCTGAATATTAGTTAAATGCATAAATCACTTAAGAGCATGGCATCTTTTGGCTCTACTCTAGCTAACTGCATAATAATAAAGGGGAGGCAGCTGTTAAAGGGCCAATACTAGAAGTCTTGAAAGTGATGGCAGCTGGTCAGTTTCAGGCAGCAGCAGAGCTAAGGGTGGGTGACCAGGGCATGAGCCTCGGGCACCAATTCATTGAAGGTGCTGCCATACCATGCTGCCAAATTCAGTTTCCCTGTTGCCCCTTTTTGCTGATGCTGGAAGTTAGCAGCACTAGAGGAAGAGTTGGGCCAGGGCCAGTTTCAAGCTTTGGTCATAGGGAGCGTGGACATGAGACATTCACATCTGATGTGGTAGTTTAAGGTGTGCAGAGGTTGTGCTGCAATAGTCCCAGTCATAAAAATCATGCCTCCCCTCCCCCTGTCAAGGGAGAGGCCACTGCTGCAGAGGATGTGATATTGGTGCAGCCAGCAGGTTAACTGTCCCTCTACTGTAGCTGTTGACTTTGTAGCCACTGAATTTAGTGCTGTCCATCATTGGTAGAGATGGCAATTGGAATCACAGGAGTGAGCAGCAGTAGTGGCTGCAGTAAAGGGCTGCAAGAGGGTCCCTGCTGTATTAACTCTTTAGCTACTGGCCATGCTGACATCTCCCCCTGAAGCAGCAGTGTCTCCCACTGCTTCAGAGGAAGGGGAAAGGAACAGGGAGGGGTGAAAGGTTGCTGATGAGGGGATTATGACCTCTAGGATGTAACCCCCAGGCTGCCCAGGACACATGCCTTGCTGGTTATGTTTCTGGTTTCAAGACTACAAATGCCACAGCACTGACAACAGTGGAGATGTGGCATTGTGTACTTAATTAGGATTGCTTATTTAAGTTTAGGTAACTATATACCCTAGATAAGGGCAAAGCCTCTTTTCAGGATGGAGGCTATGCACTTAAATCAAAGATACTGTATGTGATATCTGATTATTTATTGGGAATTGGACAACAGGAAGCATTTTGTCAATCACAACTGTGATGGTGCTTGTTAAGTCACAGTCCCATTTCTACTTCCAAGACTTACTGCTGAGTATCCTATTGCTATTCCTTGCCCTCAGTTTCGCTGACTGGTGACATTAAAAAACAGTTCCACCTCTCCTTTACCTTTTAAGATCAAATTCTTCATCATCCAGATGCACAGGGACTTTGTATCGAACCTCTTGGGTAATAGTGCTGCTCTCTCTTTCAGAAGTGCTCAGCCTGCCAAAGAAGGAGGGTTACCCCATTACATAAAGTGCCTTGGAGACCAAATGGTGGGATTAGAATCTGAAGGGACTAAATCCTTTGCAAAATATTTGCACAGAATGATTAATTTTGGGGGATGTGTAGACAATAAGTATGGATTATGGAACCCCCTTGTTAAGCATCTGGGGTTTTCCTTCCCACAGTACTGTCATGATTGTCACTAGTGGAAAGTATCACCCAGAGAAATCTGACCCAGGGTCAGACTAGAAGGGAGGATGTATAAAGGTGCAGTATTTGGAATGAGAAGATATCCTCTCTTCTTAACTCTCCCACACATTTACTGTGTGTCATTTGGCAAGACCCTCTTAGCTCACTATATCTCGGTTTCTTCCTGGGTGAAATAAGGGTAATAAATACTTGGTTATCTCCCACAGAAGATTAAGAGGCAAAGAACATCCCTGTTTGCAAAATGCATCAAAGTTCTAGGGTGCAGGGTTCTATAGAAATAGCCATTATTAGTACTTCTGCTGGAGTTCATAAAGGATTCTCAGCACAGGCACATACCCCCAAGCCTAATTCTAACAAGCATTACATTTGTGTAAGCTCCACAGAAGTCACAGGGAGTCCTGAATGGGCTGGAATGTGCCAAAGATATACATGTAATGGACAGATCATGGAGATACTGTATTGCTCTTGGGAAATATAAAATCATTTCACTGCAGGATTTGATTTTTGCATTGGATATTGCACGAATATTTGTTGTTTTAACTGACATCCTTGGCAGTGAACTTGGAACTGCAGTATCTAATTGACCAGAATATAATGTTCTGGACTTTCCTCATACTAAGGGGTTAGTAAGTAACAGATACAAGGTTTGGGCAAAAGAAGAACTGAATATAGTGTCAAAATTCATCCCAGCAAACAGGTTCTTGCCCCTTGGCTCCTTACTCTGCGCCATTCCGATCAGGTTCTTCATGTTCTGTGGCTCTAGGACTCCTGTATCTGGCATCTTGGGTGCTGCTTCTTTCCTCATCATCTGGGACAGCTCTGGTAAGCAAGGAAAAGCCCACTTAACTACAACCTCAGAGAGCTGAATTACTTCCTGAACCAGTTCTATGTGCTGAGGACAAAGAAAGATTCTTTTTGTGCCCAGTTGCACTGTTTAAAGGATCTTTCTATGGGGATCATTTCATGGGCTTAATTGCATTTCAATGTACTCATATTTCAGTCACCCTTCAACACCTCTGTTGCCATTGCAACATTGTACTGTAGACCATATCCTCTCCATATTAGTCTTGGTTAAAATCTAAGGGATCTAATCTGTCTAAGCGCACATCCACAGGAGAAAAGAGCCAGAGTGTTAAATCTGAGCATGCAGAGAAGGGCTACAACCCAGACCTTATTCAATGTCTTGCAGCTGGGATGCAGACTTTTGAACAGTTTCCATTATCACAGTTCTTGACTGATAGTAATAAAAAGACTGAGTCCTTTTATGCCTTTCCAGACCAGCTGGACTTCACATTTTCCATGGTCTTCATATTCTCTGGTAGATTCAGTAAACCCAGTGCCTTCTTACCTTTTAATATTATATTCTGTACCATTCTGATGTTCAGGGACTTCGTATCTGGTGTCGTTAGGAGGTGGAGGGATATCCGCAGACTGTGAGCTGGACCTGTCAAAAGTGGAGAATTATTAAATTGCTTCACTGGTTGGTGAAAGTTGTTCAAGTGGTTCTCAGATGGCATTCATAGGAATTACTGTTAGGAATAACAAGCCTACATTTTTCAAGCCTAACAAGCCTAGAAAAATAGCAAGTAACTTGAGTTAGAGTACTGATTTCCTTTTAGAAAAGCATGCCTGCTACCTCTACCCGACAAAAATAGAGACTTCTAGAAAACACATGAGGTACTTATGTCTCAAACAGAGCAGCTCCTCTTTTGGTTCCCTCCTCCTATTCACCAAAGACTTTGAAGCCTGCTGATAAAGCCCAGAAAGAATCTCTTAGGGGACTGTTAGCCTGCATGGCTAGCAACAACTCCAAGGCTTCTTCTTGGAGTAGAGTTCCTAACATGCATCTGCGTTTGTCTTCTATCCACAAAAAGGTTAGAATGGTGTCACAAGACCACACTTAACTTCTGAGACCCTTTAGTGGGACAAAGTAAGGAATTAAGACACAAAGTGAGGGACTCAGGAAAAGAAAAATGCTGACTGTAGGTAGATTAAATCTTCTAGCCTGGTTGATTCTCCAGTAGAAAATCTGAGTAGAGATGATTTATTATTAATATAATCAAATCTATACTCATGGCATGATGAGTGCACTCCAAAGCTCTTACCTTGTGAGGTTTGAATTTGTGTCCTCCAGGTGCACAGGGACTTTGTACCAGTGGCGCAGCTCAGTTGTAGCATCAGCAGCACCAATCCCATAATGGGAACTGGACCTGCAAAGAGAGAAAGAGAGATTCATGGCACCTTAGAAGAGAGACCGGTTAGAGTCCAAAGTTACAATATCATTGATAAACAATATATTCCTCTAGCTCCTTTACAGACATGTAACTACCCATCAGCTATATTGTGCACAGCAGACTGCACATTATGACATTGCATTGTTCAAGACAGTTTCTGGATGCGAGTCCAAGAGACAAATGCCAACATGGGAAAGGAGATGAAGGACCATAACATATTGTGAAATGATGGGACAGAAGGTGGTGGTATGAAGTGGGTATGGGGATTCAAGCAAAGATATTTCCAAATATGTTGGGGCATTCTACAGACCCTAGTTTCTACACCTACAGATATGCACACAGTGAAGCAGCTGCTCTGTACTCCTTCTGGCTTATTTCAGGGGAGATGATAATGTGTGGAACTTCAGGTCTTTGGTCCAACACTGTATTTATCTGTTTTATTGCTTTGTCACTGTAGGAAGCAATAAAGCATATCAGTAAATAGCTTGTTTTGACCTCCTGCTCCTCAGTACCCCATATCCTGCCTTGGTAATCATTTCTTCAATTGTGCTCCATGACACAAATGTTCTTCCCCTCTGACTATTCAAGTATTATTGTACTAGAATGCTTCACAGCCACTAGTGGATTTATCTTCACAACAGCCCCATATGGTAGGGAAGTATAATTAGTCTTATTCAATAAATGGTGAATTGAGACAGTAGAATAAGGATATGTCTACAAAGCACATTGCAGCATCTGGGTAAGTTAGTGCTATGATGTTAATGTGACTACACCATTTCTAGTGAGCTATTTCAGATACTTCTATCCAGCACTACCCTAAGTGACTTCCCGAAGGTCACAGAGAATCTGCGACAAAGATGAGAATAGAAATCAGGCCTTCCAAGATTTGTCACAGAGCTATACAGTGCTATGATGACATGATTATATTTTCCAGAGGTCATTAAGGCAACAATGAGAAGATAACAAACATTGATCTGGAAGGGATAAGTGAAGATGTGACAACGTGGAAGGAGATGGAAGGCTGTAATTAAGGTGGTTATAGCCACCCCCACCCCCACCCCCACCCCCACCCATCCAAAGCCTGTGAGACCAGAGAGAAAGAAAAGAGATCACTAAATGTTACTGGCACGGAAATCAAATTCATATGTTGTCCTCCCCAATCCTTTTGAGTTAATATCCCTTACAGAATAGAGTATTCTCTATTCCGCAATGTTGCACTGGCACAATTCAAAACTGAAGAGGGTTTAGTATCACTTCTTTAAAAGCTGCTTTCCACAAGGGAAGACATTCTGTGGTGTGGTTACTAATTAAAATGACAATGGACCTCTGAGGATATCTGAGTCAGGGTCCTCTCCTGCTGTTCAAGTTAAGAACCCATCCGTCATATTCTTTATATCAACTAAAGAGATTGCTCCCAATTCAGAGGCATCAAAGGAATGCTACCTCTTGTCAGAGAAAATGGGATCATGTTTTTCGTCATGCACGGTTGGTCTGGGGATGCTTTCCTTCTTTCTATCATAGGAAAAAAAAGTGACAATGAATGAAGAGACTTCAGTCTTTGTTTTTGTGCCTCCCATTCACCTTCCTATCATTAAACAAGCTCACCTTCAAGAATAGGGTAAAAAACATACAAAGACAGCTATGTAATCAATTCTTCTAAGTAAAGAGAGTCTGGTTTATTTTCATAGATTCATAGACATTAGGGCTGGAAGGGACCTCAGAAGATCATCAAGTCCAGCCCCCTACCCCAGGGGCAGGAAGTCAGCTGGGGTCATAGGATCCCAGCAAGATAAACATCCAAATGTCTCTTGAAGGTGTTCAAAGTAGGTGCTTGAACCACCTCCGGTGGCAGTTTATTCCAAACATTGGGGGCTCGGACAGTAAAGAAGTTCTTCCTTACGTTCAGCCTGAAACGGTCATGGAGGAGTTTAGGACCATTCAACCTTGTCATCCCTTGGGGCGCTCTGGTGAACAGACATTCCTTGTGAGCACCCCTGATAAACTTATAGGTGGCCACCAGATCACCCCTGAGCCTGCACTTTTCCAGGCTGAAGAGTCCCATGGCTCTCAGTCTCTCATCATAAGGTCTGTTTTCCTGACCTCTGATCATGCACGTGGCTCTCCTCTGCACCCTCTCAAACTTCTCCACATCCTTTTTGAATTGTGGAGCCCAAAACCGGACGCAGTACTCCAGCTGCGGCCTCACCAAGGCCAAGTACAACGGGAGAATGACATCCTGGGACTTGCTTGAGAAGCATCTATGGATGCAAGCCAGCATTTTGCTTGCTTTACTAGCTGCAGCATCACATTGAAGGCTCATGTTCATCTTGTGGTCAGTCATGACCCCCAAGTCCCTTTCGTCTGAAGTGCTAGCCAGTGTAGTACTGCTGAGCCTATAAGCATGCTGTGGGTTTTTCCTCCTGAGGTGGAGAACCTTGCATTTTTTGGTGTTAAATGCCATCAGGTTCTTGTTTGCCCACTTCTTGAGACTGTCGAGGTCAACCTGGATTGCCCTCCTGTCCTCAGGTGTGGACACTTTACCCCAGAGTTTGGTGTCATCGGTGAACTTGGCCAGTCCACTTCTGACACCAATGTCTACATCATCAATGAAGATGTTAAATAGTATAGACCCTAGGACAGAGCCTTGAAGGACCCCACTGGTCACAGGGCACCACAACAATTCAACCACCATCCTCTGGGTCCAACCACGGAGCCAATTCCCCAGCCAATGAATCATGGTGAGGCCGAGGTCGCAGTTAGCCAGTTTTGCCAAGAGGTGATCATGGGATACCAGATCGAAGGCTTTTTTAAAGTCAATATATAGGACAATCGCTTCTCCCTTGTCCAGGTGATAAGTCACCTGGTTGTAAAAGGAAATAAGATTGGTCAAGCAAGACCTACCTGCAACAAATCCGTGCTGGCTATCCCTCAGGATGCTGCCGTCAGCCAGACTGTTAAGAATAGCCTCTTTGATAATCTTTTCCAAGACTTCCCCGGGATAGAGGTCAGGCTGATGGGCCTGTAGTTTGCCAGATCCACTTTCCTCCCTTTCTTGAAGATAGGCATGACATTGGCCTTCTTCCAATCTTTGGGCACTTCACCAGAGCACCAGGAGCTCTCGAAGATCCATGCCAGGGACTGAGCTATGAAGCTTGCCAGGTCCTCGAGTACCCTGGGGTGTAAACTGTCAGGGCCGGCTGACTTGAAGGTATCCAGCCTCTCAAGGTGTTCCTTCATGAGGTCAGCATTGATGGAGGGTAAGGAATCTCCCTCACCTTGCCCTGTCCCATAATGGGCAAGGGCGTCTCTTGGGACTGGTGAAAAACCGACGCAAAGTGCCCATTTAACAAGCTGGCTTTTTCCTGGGCGCCGGTTGTCAGTTGTCCCATCTGGTTTAGCAAGGGTTCAATGTTACCCTTGCTTTTCCTCTGACTCCCCACATATCTAAAAAAGGACTTTTTATTGTCCTTGATACTTGCAGATAGTTGGAGTTCCATTGCAGCCTTGGCTTTCCTGGTTCGCTCCCTGCAGGTCTGGACCAGAGCAGTGTATTCCTCCTTGGTGGTGGATCCCATCCTCCATCCTTTGTAGGTCTGTCTTTTTAGATGCAGCAGGAGGTCTGCTAGTTCCCTGAAGAGCCAAGGGGGCTGCTGTGCCCTTTTGCTGCCTTTCCTCTGAGACAGGATAGACTTTGCTTGCGCATCCAGGATTGAGCAACCACTCATTCTGAACTCCCCTCCCCCTTGGGTTGTGGCCTTTTAGTGCCTGACTGACAAGCCTCCTTAGCTTGTGTTACGTCTCAGCTCTGTATTCTTGGGCAACCCTGGCACAGGATGCAGTCTGTCTGACTCACAAAGGACTCACCCCCCCCTCCCTCCCCTCCTCTACCTAAATTAAACTGATTAAGATGCAGTGAGAGACACACCTAAGACCCTCACCAGATAAGGGTGACAAGAATGAATCAACTGCCCTAGGTCTCATTTACATCCGAGATGGAACCAGATGACCATTCATTTACATGAGAGATGGAAAACAGAAAGCCTGAAGCAGAGACTGCAGTGAATTCTGGGACCAGAGAAGCAGGAGAGCGCTGCATGATGGGGAATCTGTGCT